GGTGAGGTAGCGTACCTGATGTGCTCCAACATTTCTTCCTCAATAGAAGTTTTTATGGCAAACATGGCCTTGGCAGCTCAAACTTTCCATTTCTTATATGCAGTAGCATTGATGTCCGGTGGCGGCGCAACCTCGTTGCCTTTCGCAATCTTCGGCAAGTCTTGGCTCTCCAGGTAAGTTTCAATGCATGTTTGCCCACGTGCTGTAATTTTTGTCATTCAACTTCTTGATGGTGTTTAGCCAGCTTTGATCACCCATTGTGACTCAGTGTGGTCCCTATTGATTCTGACCTGGTCCTAGACCAACAAAACACAAGCTTCACAATCCCAGATTGTGCACAAGCAGAATTTCTCCAAAGAAAGAGATCCCTGACCTCCTTGCTTTATGATGATATTTGACTGAGCGGTCCCTGACCGTTGCAACAACAAAGCTAGGAAAAGCCTTCACCAAGTGAAAAATCACGATCCTTGATCATGTGTAGAAACTGCTATAGCAAATTGCTCTGCTACCAGATTTGTTGACTAAAAAAGGAAATAGTAGAACACCATTTTCTATTGAACTCACGCACACACTATTTTTCTTCTTCAATTTTGCTTTTCATACTTACAAAAGTCAGTGATGTACACCAATTGTGCATATTCTAGAGTATTCATTTTGTTTACAATATTTTAATTTACCATACATCCAATAAATCTAGACACACAACTAACGTGGCTTTCTCTCCATCATATATTATTGTGTGGCTTCAAGTTACTTTATGGTAAAATATATGCTTCTAGAAGACTTTTACTTCATCACCATTTAGATTTCAAGTCGGTGATGAATATTTTAACAATTTGGATAAATTTGAGGTAAGGAGCAAGATTCTGGGTTTCGCTCGGCAAACTCTTCTCTTCTACCCATGGCTATTGCATGCAAATGGGGTCTTGAGATAGTTGTGAAACACTAACCTTTTTGTATTGTTTGCACAGTTTTATCATTCTTCTTGACAATTTCTTTTGCTTTGTAGCAACTCATTAACTGCTTTATTATAGAAACAGTTATATTGGATAATAAGATTCACATTTTATCCCAAAAAAAAAAA